GGATATTGACATTGTTCACATGCAATTGTAATATTGTTAGATTTCCTTTCACTTAGAAGCTCCAATGTTCAATTTGTTGAGAAATGGGTCGTTCGCATCCGTAAAAATATTGGAAGGAGCCGAAAGTCAATAGTTCAATTTATTTGTTGATGTTATATACTGCGATACATCTTTATTGACATTAGTGTTGTACTGCCATGTTTAATATGAGTGATATAAAAAAAAAAATTATAAAAAAAATATGAGTGATAATATCATTTTAGGTGCGATATTGCCATTTTTAGGAGTAATATTGCCATTCAGATGAAATTTGGTCCCCTAAAAATGGCATTGTTTGTAAAAACAAAAACATGACATTATATTAGAGTGACGTGCACTTTGTCGTAGTGTGCACTCAAAATAATAATACAATACAACACTTATACGTAGTATAGCGTAGTAAGGATCGTATCCACAGGGAAAGGAATACTTTTCTTTTTATAGAACTAGTAACAAAATGGGGGTTTTTAGTTTGATTTGGTTTAATAAATTAAACACGAAGATGAACGAGTTATGTGGTTTAATTAATGAGAAGAAGACTTGGCTTTGCTTTTATCCACTTAATGAAATGTTCGTCGATCCCGGTTATATCTTTAACTATCTTCCTCTCGAATACTCAATCGAGGAGTATATCCAGTTCATCGAGGGTAGTTATTAATAACGAGACGCGTTCATTAATAAAACTTACTACCGAGTCAATATAGAACAAGCGCCATATATTAACTTGATAGTAGCAATAAAATCAAGATGAAAACGATTGAGATTGATAACCTCAACACAAGCGGTTTATTGGTTTAATCAATATAATTAATTCCCCTTTGTTTATTAACCATGAGAAGCATGCATTAACAATCCAAGTTTACTACCATTGAAAGAACCGAATTAATAACAAGCGTATTAACCGATTGATTCTAGTAATAATTAATATATGAAACAAAACTAGTTGACCCTTTAAGTAATGTTCAAAATATTAATATGAAATATGAATAGGAATTAATTAATACTCAAGAAAGAATATTAAAGAAGATGAATCCTACTATAGTTAATATCAAGATGTTAACTCATTGTCATCTTAGTACCACTCCCCAATATTAACATAGAGGAAGAAATAGCTATTACTATAACTAATGTCAAGATGTTAACTAATTGTCATCTTAGTAACACTCCCCAACATTGATATAGAAATAGTATTTGAAGAAGAATTAATATTCAAGGAAGAAGATTAAAGAGAGTAACTCACAACTTACAAATTCATTAAGCTTCAAAGTAGCAAAACCAAGATGGAAGAGTTTAGCTCCTCATTTGGAGACTAAACATGATAGAAAATATAAAGAAAACACTAATCTAAACTGAGCTAAAGAGTATATGTGAATTGGTGATTTTATTGGGAAGGAAAGAGGTGTATCTATAGGCTTTTGAGAGCTGCAGGGTCTGATACCCGACCGGGTATCTCAGGAAATTGCCCAGAAAGTGATTTTTCTGGGCATACCCGATCGGGTATGTGACAAATCCTTATGAAAATTTGCTCCCACGATCATTTGTCTTCGGATTTGATTTGGACAGTCGAATCAAGCAATTATCCGATCGGGTATAGGCAATACCCGACCGGGTACATGAGTATTTTTTCCAAATCGAAATCTTTCTTGTCTCCTTGCACTTTCCTTGATCTTTTAAGGTCCAATCTTGATACCTTAGATGATCTTTGACCTGTTTAGCTCAGAAAAATCCTAATCTAACTAAATTACAAATAAAAATGAAAATAAAGTATTACACCAAAAGTGTGTAATTCCCACAACTAGAACTAATAAAAACTAGTTAAAAATATAAACATACAATTGGAAATTACATGAATATCATAGAGAAATATAACCTTCTTTATGAAATGACATTATTTCTAAATCAAGATGGAGATAACTGCTATTTGTTGAGAAATTAAAAACAATAGATATAAAACTTTTAGATTCAAAATTATTGCCGTAAAATGGCACTATAATAGAGCAATACTATCTTATTAGTAAAGTGAAATTATTTCCAATTCAAGATTAGATCAGTTTGTTTACTAAAAAAATTAAATGCACTACTTATGCATCTCTCAGTTTCAAAAAGGCATTGGTTTTCAAAAAAATCATTTTCATATTGAATAACATGATACTATAAGATCAAAATCAAAATTAAATTTACAACTAATAAGAAATTAATAAAAATAATAATTGAATCAGTCACAAAACAATCTCGAATTATGGTTACAATCGAAAACAAAAATAATCTCCAACTGTTAAAAGATTAATGGAAATTAAAAAAATCAAAATCAAAATGAAGGAAATATAAACAAATTTATCAAAAAATGAATAACAATGAAAGAAAACAAAGGAAGAGAGGAGGAGTGTATAGAAGAAGATTGAAATTTACCTACAACACCCGTCGTCGTCAACTTGCCTGACGATCAAATTGGAGTACGTAATTAATATTGATAGAAAAATAAAAAATAATTAATTATGAAACTACATCAATTATCCTCTAACAAATTGGGTTAAACATGCATCTCTCTCGTGTATTTATAACCCCGTAAATTATATGGTACATCCGATTATACCATGCGCCAACCGGATATTCTAGTTTATACTTAATGAGTGTATAAGTTAAATATAATGAGTATTGGTATTGAATTATGAAATTAACATGATAATACAATGATAATATAGTTAAATGAATAAATTGATTTATAGCACATAAATATTTTGATGATAATACAATCACAATATTTAATTGCACACTTCTAATACTCAATTGTGCTACCAAAGGTCCAAAACATTGATTTGGCACCAACACTTATTTCTTTTAAATGTTATACTTATTAGCTACTCCCTCCGTCCCAATTTAAAGGGATAATTTGAGTTTGCACCATATTTTATTGTCCAAATTGGACTTTGCATCCCATTTTTGAAAATTTTTGTTTATGCACCCCAATCTCATATGAAAAGACAAAAATGCCCTCAATAAGGAATATGTTGAAGGTCAACATAATTGTTAATGGATGGACATTTTTGTCTTTTCAAATGGGAGAGGGGTGCAACTACAATGTTTTTCAAAAAACGGGGTGCAAAGTCCAATTTGGACCATAAAATGGGGTGTAAACTCAAATTATCCACAATTTAAAAGGTCCTATTCGACTTCTAATACTCAATTGTGCTACCAAAACATTGATTTAATACCAGTCCTTATTTCTTTTAAATGTTATACTTATCAGCTACTCCTTCCGTCCCAATTTAAAAGGTCTCGTTCGACTTTTACACAATTTAAGAAAATGACATTGTTTGACATTATATAAACACAGTTTAACACTGTTTGACATTATGTGACATTGTTTTACACTGTTTCATTTACCAAATAAGGAAATACGACATTTTTAAAGGACATATGGAAAGGGAGAGTGAAATGTTGACCCGGTTGTATAAAATAAAGGCTAAAGGATCAAATAGGCCCTTGAACTGACCTAAAGTGTTCAATTAGCCCCTTATGTAGGAGGTTCTGCCCGGCTGTCGCCAATTGGAGCGGTTCCCGGTGGAATTTTTTAATGAAATTTTTTGAGCATCTTTTTCATTAAGTCTAGTTTACTCATACCAAATTTCAGCTAAAAATGCAACCGAGAAGGCAGTCAAATGATTTTTTGAAGGTAACTGCGAAGTTAAACAGCACAGTACATTTCAGAAAATCATTTGACTGCCTTCCCGATTGAATTTTTAGCTGAAATTTGGTATGGGTAAACTAGACTTAATGAAGAAGATGCTCAAAAAATTTCATAAAAAAATTCCCCCAGGAACCGCCCCAATTAGCGACGGCCGGGCAGAACCTCCTATATAAGGGGCTAAAATATTGGGTTGTATGGTGAATATGGTGAGTTGGTGACTGGTGAGTACGGTATACGTACTCCTAAAACCCCATTCTACCCCTAAGACCATTTGGAGTGGTGAGGGAGTCTAAATACGTAGTATAAAAAATGGACTCTATCCATATGAAAACAGTGTTTTGACTCCTATTTCTCTGCATTTCAGCACCGTCAATAAAATACACTCTGCACATTTTTTACATGTCAATTTAGTAAAACATTAATTAAATTATTATAAGTAATGTTTTCGTTTTAATTGTTTCTTTGATTAATTATAAAATAAAAAAGATATATTTCGATATAAATATACATAAATTTCATTAATTTGTTTTTACGTTTTTGGGTTAACAAAAAATGAACTTATTTCATGTAAAGTTAGATTATGAAATATTTATTTATTTGTGAAGGCTGCATGAATTAAAAATATGTGTTATATGTTTTTAGGCTCAAGAAAACTTCAATAGTTAAAATTTAAAAAAAAATCCATTTTATGTATTACATATTGGTATCATATTAAAGCTCATAAAAATTCATGAATTTTGATATATTTTTGAAAAATTTGGAGAACAAATGAAAAAGTTAAAAAAGATTAAAATATTTTGGGATTATATTGACATCGGTATGATCAACGTGACATTAGCGGAATGCATAACCAACACGCACGGGCCGACCTACTTTTTCTTTTTTCTTTTCTTTTTGGCGATCCAAATTCCTCCAAATATAACCCCTTCCCTCTCCAAACACATTTTTAATACCCTCTTCAATCAACCAATGTATGAAATTAGGAGTCCAAAAATGTCATTTTCAACATTTTTAACTCCTAATACCTTACCACTCCAAATGGTCTAATAAGAAGCTCATGTAGAGTAGCCTCTCTACCCCAATGTATGAAATTAGGAGTCCAAAAATGTCATTTTCAACATTTTTAACTCCTAATACCTTACCACTCCAAATGGTCTAATAAGAAGCTCATGTAGAGTAGCCTCTCTACCCCATGGAACAGCCCCACATTTGTTATGGCGACTTCATAATTCCGAGTTCCGACATAGCCACATCCCTTGTCCAGTTTATCGGGGCACATTCGGCCAATTTATGATTTGCAATTCGCCAACTTTAAGTCCTCCAAGATTTTCTCATTCCCATTATCACATCAAGGCCTCATCATCTTTTTTTTTCAAACATTCCTAAATTCAATCCTTTCTTCAATTCTTCATTACAGAAATTCTCTAATAAAACTAAAAAATATCCAGTGCCCAGTACTCAAGGAACCATGACGGAGGTCATCCACTCTTCATCTGCTTCCCCCTCTTCTTCTCCTTCATTGTATCAGGCCAGGGATTTAGTAGATGAAGAAGAAGCCAAGGGGGGAAATAAGGAGAAAGATCAGCTATCTTTATTGGCCCTTTTAGTGGCTTTGTTCAGAAAGAGTTTCTGGATGGCTTGCAAGACGGAGAGAGCGGAGCATTGCTGTTCTGCTGCGGGTATGGAGATTGGATGGCCTACTAATGTGCGCCATATTTCCCATGTTACCTTTGATAGATTCAATGGATTCCTTGGTTTGCCTGTTGAGTTTGAGCCAGAGGTTCCCAGGCGGTCCCCCAGTGCTAGGTGAATTGTCTTCTTTCTGCATTGTTGTGAGTTCTTTATTTCTTTTGTGGCTCGTGTGATTGAATGTCTTCCTGGGGTTGTTCTTGAATTTTGGTCACCATTGTAGTTATGTTGGTCTTTGACACTGACTGGAAATTAGATCTTTATTTTCATATTCATCATTAATTAATTTGTAATTTCTACTTATTCATGGGATTAAAAGTTTCAGGTTCTTGTTTTTTATGATAAAATAAGATTGTGATTGGAACTTGGGCTGATTTGCAGTTGGTAGGGTGAAGAACAAGGGTCACATTTTCTTATGATCTTTAGGGTCTAACTGCAGTTAAATTTTGAAGAAGCGAAATATAGCATATACTCCGTGTATATATATATATGTGTGTGTATATACATATATATATATATACATATAGGGAACTGTTCCGGTAAGAAAGAAGTCTCAGGAGAGAAATAAGAACGAATTATGACCATTGATATGACTCATCCGATGGACTCTAAAAGTTTCTCCAAAACAGTTAATTTCGATTATATTAATCTTTATAGAAGCAAGGTCCTTATATCATTAATTAGGAGGGGTATTGATGTCAAATAAAGTGAATTACGGTTGCACATGTGTTGCTATATTTAGATGTTTTCCTAAGTAGGACAAACATTTATTATCTCCCCAACTATTTCTATCCTTCTACGAAGTATTCATATCATTAAAGCATGCTTAGAAAACTCTTCTTTTTCAATTTGCATCCTACGATTGAGGTTTAATATATTTCTGGAGATAAAATTCTTTCTTAATGAAATCATTTTCATCAATATGCACTTTAATGTTGATAGATGCAATGGTAAGTATTTACTTTTTGCTACTCCATTAAAATATAATTTATTTAAAAAATGTGCACTATTATGCATTACAGAGTGCAATGATTAAAATGCATGTCATCGTCATAGGAGAATGCAAAAAGTATGCATGAAAGTGCAATTTAAATACATACAAAAGTGCATCAAGATTATGAATGTAAAAGACGTATTATATCAAGTGCATTTTAAGTATATACAAAAGTGCACTAGTATATCAGACTTTATAAAATTTTACATTAGCACTTTTACTCAAAATGAAATGCAATTTTTCTCAAAATGAAATGCACTCTTGACATGTGCATATAAACATAAATAAGATTGCACTATTGTCTCGTACTTTTTAAAATTTCACATTAACATTGCAATTGAGCTATAATATTAAAAAGGTGCAACATATATATTTGTGTTAATGCAATTGTTTTTTGAAATGTAACACATGATACTAAAATGAAATTGTATTAGATAATCGTTGTTATTTAATTTTGAAAATATACAAATCTAACAATAATGCACAATTATATACTAAAGAATGCACAAAGTGAACAATAATAATACTCCATAAGACATTATTAGTTAAAATACGTCTCATATCTTAAGTTAAAGTATGTATCTCTCCAACTGAGATTATGGACCGCATAAGGTGTTATTATATTGTGAAGGAACTAATAAATAACCTTCTAAAAATAAGAATTTGATACGTCCGTACATAGATTAGGCATTTAATGCTAATAATATGAAAAGCCAAATTAACCCCTACGAATGATGATCTATGAGGCTAAATCTAACGGTGCAAAATGTTTCTCATTTCTCTCCTTAGATGGTATTCTTATTTGATCCAAACTCTATACATATATATATATATATATATATAGAATAGAGATCAAATACAAAGCCTTCTTAATTTACAAAGTACAAACTCATCTTGACCGTCCGATGAATTGATCCAAAGGACATAAAGGCAAGGTGGCATTTTTGTAATAAAACCCAACTTTTTAGGGTGCAACTCGTTGCACCTTAATGTGCAACTGTTATTTTTATGACTTTATAATGTGCAATACTTTGAACCTCAATATGCAATGCAAATAACGTCAAGGTGCATCGTACAAATATTTGCACAATAAGCACACTTTGTACTTGATCTTTCCCCTATATATATATATACATATATATATATATATACATATATATATATATATATAGGGAGCGGTTCCAATGAGAACCATGCTTAACGTGAGAACGTGAGAACCATGCACTTTTAATACATCTCGGTGCACTATGAGGCTCATCTATTGCACTTTTTAAATTTTGATCAAAACATGCTAATATCAAATAAATGTGGTGGGAGATTCCTAAATATTTCGTTAACATGAAAATGTGCAACATATACATGATATAGTGCATCACATTTGCTTAAAAGTGGAGTTCTCACGTTCTCACGTTAAGCATGGTTCTCATTTGAACCTAAATCTATATATATATATACATATATATATATATAAATATATATATATATATATAGCTTGTACTCACTAGGGTGTCTAGAACTTTTGTGTACACATTCTCTAATTTTTGTATTGTAGCATTCACTAATGAACCGCTAAAAATGAATTTTGCATTTCTTTTCTTTCTTTGAATAGGCGCCCATTGTTGCGTCTGAGTTTTATTGTCAGAAACCTGATTGTGAAACTCAGAACAAAAGCGTTTAATGGTTAAATATCGAGTATTAGCACTTAAGAAAGTTGAAATGAGATCACATCCTTTTCGAAGGTAAGAAAGACATTTTAGGTGGAAAATTTCTCTGATTTGGGTGGGAAAGGAAATTGAAGAAAAATAATGCAAGAAAAATGTAATTAAACAATCTTCTCTCTTAGAAAATATATTTCCTTCCCAAAGTGTCCACCCTTTATCAGCGCACCCGAATACCCAATACTTTGATTCCTCTTATCTCCCTATCTCGCGAAGGAAAATATTTCTCTAATTTCTCCTATCTTCTTCACTCTCACTTTCTATTATGCACAGCAAAAGATTGATGCATCATCTTTTAGAGCCAACGGTCACATATAAGCTGCAGCAATTGTGATGCCTTCTTAAGCTCTGATTTATTTTGCCATCCTCTTACAATGGATATAATGTTCTTGTTAATTGGCAAATGCTTAATTTTTTTTTTTGCCTATGATCCTTGATAAGTACAGTATTTATATGATGATAATTCGTTATGGTATACTTTTTTTGTTAATTTTCTTTTGAAATCACAGATATTTCAGAGCACAATTGACTTTTGACTTCATTCCTTGTGTAGTGCCACTGTTTTTGGAGTGTCAACGGAATCAATGCAATTATCATTTGATTCCAGAGGGAACAATGTTCCGACTATCCTTCTACTGATGCAAAGGCATCTATATGCTAAAGGGGGGCTCCAGGTACCTTTTTTATATTTACCTTTTTTTTTTTTTGCATTTTAACTGTATTCTTGGTGAAATGATTGTTATTATGTGAACAGACTGTAAGGATCCTCTACCGGCTCAGACCTCAAACACCAACAGCCCTAAGGCAGGCTCACATCCACCACCAAGGTTGCAGTTCAGGGGAGATGAAGGGCAACAACCATCTACACTCTCGTATGGTACCCAAACCCCCAGCCTCGCCCAGAGAACCCAACGGAGAACAACCCACCCAAACAACCTGACCAGAGTGAAGCCCAACAAAGGGTCCCCAAAGGTCACCGGAGGCTGACCGGAGCACAGCACACAGGTGATTCAGACTCTCTCTCACTCTAGGAAAGGGGCAACGCACTGAGTGTCTCATCGTGTAGAGAGAAAGAGGAGAGGATCAAATAGGAGGTTCTGGAGACATCCAGACAAATATATCAAGGGGCCACAGGGTCACGGGCTGGATACAAAACAAAGTGGGCGGATGGGCTGAGTCAGGCTGACAGCTCAAATGGGCCAGATCATTTAATAGGAGACCAAACTATTAAATAGAGGTGGACCAAGGATGACACGGGAATGGATCAAGCCAAGAGAGGTGGGCCAATACCATCAACAATCTCCACCTTATTGGTCCCCTTGGTGGTGTAGAGCACAAATGTGAAAGGGAGTATCATCATCGCCGGTTTTTCTTGTTTTAATCTGTTCTTATCAGCCACAATCTAAATTAAGAATACGTTTACAAGAAAACAGTTTTTCAAAAGTGAGACATTTAGTCCCCATATCAGCAGGGTTGAATTCAGAAGCTATTTTGCATAGCTTCACCCCTCCTTTGTCAACAATGTCCCTGATGAAGTGGAACCTGACATCAATGTGCTTGGTCCTGTCATGAAATACTGGGTTTTTGCATAATTGTATAGCAGACTGGCTGTCAGAGTACACAGTTACAACCTGTCTAAGAAAACCAATTTCAGATAGAATACGTTTCAGCCAGATAGCCTCTTTAAAGGCCTCAGTTGCTGCAACGTATTCAGATTCAGTAGTAGAAAGTGCAACAATAGGCTGAAGTTGGGATTTCCAACTTATGCAAGAACCACACAAAGTAAAAATATAAGAAGTAGTAGACTTCCTATTATCCCTATCATTTGCATAATTGGAATCAACATAGCCAGTAAGACAAATACCAGAATCAGATTTAGAAAACACAAGACCATGAGAGGTGGTACCCTTAAGGTACCTAAGCAACCATTTCAGGGCATTCCAATGAGGCATCCCAGGGTTGGCCATATATCTGCTTAAGCAGCTGACTGCATAGGCAATATCAGGCCTGGTGCTTACCATGAGATACATAACCGACCCTATTGCATTGGAATAGGGTACAGACTTCATCATATCGGTTTCAGGGCCAGTCTTAGGAGACTGATCCTTACTTAGGACAAAATGAGGAGCTAGAGGCACATTAACAGGTAGGGCAGAATTCATGTTAAATTTTTTCAGAACCTTATCAAGGTAGGAGACCTGATTAAGGGTAAGGGTACATCTACTCCTATCCCTAATGATATCAATCCCTAAGATTCTCTTAGCATCTCCTAGGTCCTTCATAGCAAAATTCTCACATAGACACTTTTGAACATTCTTAATTGCATTCACTGAGGGGCTAATAATGAGCATATCATCCACATAGATCAACAAGAAAACAAGTACAGAGTCAGTATTCTTAAAATACATGCAAGGGTCAGAATCAGACCTTTTGAAACTCAAGGAAGTCATGCATTTGTCAAATTTAATGTTCCACTGTCTAGGTGATTGTTTTAGGCCATAGAGGGCCTTCCTAAGCAGACAGACATGTCTAGGGTACTTAGGGTCAACAAAACCCTCAGGTTGGGTCATAAAAATCTGCTTATCAAGTTCACCATGCAAAAAGGCAGTGGTAACATCCATCTGCTTCATTTCCCAGTCATTATGGGCAACTAGAGCAAGCATCAACCTAATTGTAGTAAACTTCACTACAGGAGCAAAAATTTCAGCATAATCTACCCCTTCTTTTTGAGTGAAACCTTTGGCAACTAACCTAGCCTTAAACCTAATATCATTAGGTTCCTCCTTAACTTTGAAAAGCCATTTGCACTCAACAACAGAACAATTAGGAGCCCTAGGGACTAGGGTCCAAGTTTTATTCAACTTAAGGGAATCTATTTCACTTCGCATAGCACTAAGCCAATTTTTAGATTCTTTAGAGGCAAGGGCTTCCTGATAGGTTTTAGGTTCATTCAAATCAAGAGTTTCAAAAACAGAGAAGGCAAACAAGGAAGTATCATAGAGATGAAAAGCATAATCAGTCATGCTATCAGAAATTTTCCTTATATTTCTCCTAACTCTATCTCTAGCCAGTTGATATCCTTCTAGACCTTGATCCTCAATATCATGAGAGTTATCAACAGACTCATTTTCAGTAAACACTTCATGCATAGTCTCACTATTGTTTGAATCAGTGTGCTGCTCCACCTCACTGTGGGTAGAGTGGGCATCATGCATAGTGTTGGTAAGGTCAGAATTATCTTGAGGCTCAGATTCATTAAACAGAGGGGTGGGAGCAGGTCGGATAGGCTCCACCTCACTTGGAGGGGTGCCATCAGGTTCAGTTTGATGGTCAGTCACAGTCTTAACTAAGCAGGGAAAATCAATTTCATTGAACACAACATTTCTGCTTATAATGACTTTAAAACCAGGTTGATTTCTATCCCATACCCTATAGCCTTTTACACCTTCAGGGTAACCTAGGAAAACACACTTTTTAGACCTAGGATCAAGTTTGTCAGTTTGTTGGTGCACAAAGGCAGCACACCCAAAAACTTTTAAGTTTGACAGATCAATGGGCTTTCTAGAGAAAACAGATTCAGGGGTTTTACCCCCTAAAGGCACAGAAGGGGATCTATTGATTAAATAGACAGCAGTGTTCACAGCTTCTCCCCAAAACTTCTTGGGGAGACCAGAAGTAGCAAGCATACTTCTAACCTTATCAAGGAGGGTCCTATTCATTCTCTCAGCCAAACCATTTTGCTGGGGAGTATAGGGCACAGTTTTGTGTCTCCTAATCCCATTTTCAATACACAACTTATCCATGTCATTATTGCAAAATTCTAAGCCATTGTCAGTTCTAAGGGTTTTAACCTTACATCCAGTTTGGTTTTCTATCATAATTTTCCATTCTTTAAACTTAATGTACACATCAGATTTATGTTCTAACAAACAAACCCAGACTTTTCTAGAAAAGTCATCAATTATAGACAAGAAATACCTCCTACCCCCATGGGTAGGGACACTGGAAGGACCCCACACATCAGCATGTATGTAGTCAAGGACAGTTTTGGACTTAGGTTCACTAGGATAGCTAGAGACAGGAAATTGAACCCTATGTTGTTTACCTAGAACACAACCTTCACAGAATGGTATAGGTGACACCAAGTCAGTTCCAAAACACCCATTTTTATGCAAAATGTTTAATCCTTTATTACTCATATGACCAAGTCGTTGGTGCCAAAGCACAGACTTGTCATTAAGTACAACATTAGCATTTTCAGAAAAAGGTTTAGCATGGACAACATACAGATTGTTCTGTTTCAAAGCTTTGAACAAAACAAGGGAGTTTTTTAAGATTTTCATACACCCATTTCCCCATTTACCCTCAAGACCACCTTCTTCAAAAGCAGATACTGAAAACAGGTTGTGTCTTAAATCAGGTACATGTCTAACATTTTTTATTTGAAAGACAGTTCCATTTTCAAATTTTAGACAGATGTCACCAATACCAAGGACCTTACACCTTTTACTATCAGCTAAGGAAACAAAACCAGTGTCACATAAGCTATAGGATGAAAACAGATTTCTAAAAGGAGTCATATGGTAGGTACAACCTGAGTCTATTAACCATTCAGTTTCAGTCAAACTACTAAGCACAGAATTGGCTTCATCACAGACCATAAAGACATCATCTTCTACATCCTTATTGGTCACAACATTAGCCTGGTCATTCTTTTTAGGTTGGGTACAGTCTTTTATGTAATGTCCTGGGTTACCACAGTTGTAACAAACCCTTTTTCTAGACTTAAACCTCTTCTTTCCAGTTTGCTTATTTCCTTTGTCATGATTATCCTTCTTAGGATGCCTAGACCTGCTTTTAGACCTTCCTCTAACAAGCAGAGCTTCCCCAGATTCCCTATGATGACTTCTAGAATGTTTTAAGTCCAATTCTTTACTTCTCAGACCATTAATAACAATATCTAGGGTAATATCATCCCTCCCATACTTAATGGCTGACTTAACATCATTATAGGAATCAGGTATGGCATTTAGCAAAACTATTGCAGTGTAATCATCTATATGTTTATCCCCAGCCTGCTTAATGTTTTGGATTAGTTTATTAAAAACATCAAGGTTTTCATCAATATCTTTTGTTAGGTCAAGTCTGAACCTAAAAAACTTTTCCAACAAAAACAGTTTACCAGGGAGGGAAGTATCCGTATATAGAGATTCTAATTTATCCCAGAGGGCCTTAGCAGACTCAATGACTCCAACCTTTCTAAGGACAGAGTCAGACAGGTTTAAGTATATTGTTGAACAGGCTGTCTCATTCATCTCAACTTGTTTAGGTTTATCCTCAGTTTCTAAGTATTGATTAGTAACAGCTCTGAACACTTTTTGTTGAATTAACACACATTTAATCTTTTGTTTCCATATATCAAAGTCAGTTTTACCATTAAAAGGCATCATTCCATATAGGTTAGAAGCCATGGTAACAGATTACACTCAACAACTGAAATTCAGGTAATATAAAAGCTTAACCCTAGAGGATCAGGCTGCGGACTAAGAGACCACGCAGTTCCGGGGCCACTGAAGTGGCTGGCAGGGTATCCCTTAGCCCTAACCTCAGGTGCCTTAGCCAACTAGGGGTTCAAAGCTACACAATTACCAGAACTCAGACTAGAGAGTAGAGCCAAACAGACTGAGCAGAGATTAAACAGTCAATACAACAGTAAAGAGCAGAGTACAATAATGCTAGGAAGAGTTCAGAGGTAAACACACAAGGGTGGCAGATCAATGACTAAGACACACAAAGAGTCAGATTAATATGCCAATCAGAATCCACAGATAATCAGTGGCCAAGTTCGACACAGATTGGTCCACTCATGCACAACCGAATTACACCTAGGGTTTCTACAGATCTGTGCTAACAGATACTGTACATGCAAGGGTTGTTCTAGGGTTTCTACTCGGCAGATTTATAACCTAGGGTTACAAGTCCACCCATGCAACACAGAGGCCGGTGGCACTCCGGCAGCCCAGAGGTTAGGGTTTCAGACTTATACCTGAGCGGGTGTCACTGAAACGACACCCGACTTACCAATCTCCGACGGAGCACCTGGCGTTACCGGTTTGGATGGTCCCTGTCTCCGGCGAGTTCCCGGCGTCAGTGAGAGGCGGCGTCCAAGCTCTGATACCACTGTAAGGATCCTCTACCGGCTCAGACCTCAAACACCAACAGCCCTAAGGCAGGCTCACATCCACCACCAAGGTTGCAGTTCAGGGGAGATGAAGGGCAACAACCATCTACACTCTCGTATGGTACCCAAACCCCCAGCCTCGCCCAGAGAACCCAACGGAGAACAACCCACCCAAACAACCTGACCAGAGTGAAGCCCAACAAAGGGTCCCCAAAGGTCACCGGAGGCTGACCGGAGCACAGCACACAGGTGATTCAGACTCTCTCTCACTCTAGGAAAGGGGCAACGCACTGAGTGTCTCATCGTGTAGAGAGAAAGAGGAGAGGATCAAATAGGAGGTTCTGGAGACATCCAGACAAATATATCAAGGGGCCACAGGGTCACGGGCTGGATACAAAACAAAGTGGGCGGATGGGCTGAGTCAGGCTGACAGCTCAAATGGGCCAGATCATTTAATAGGAGACCAAACTATTAAATAGAGGTGGACCAAGGATGACACGGGAATGGATCAAGCCAAGAGAGGTGGGCCAATACCATCAACACAGACAGAAGGGATTTTCAGAATAAATCCAGAGGAGAGGCAGGAGGAATATGCAAGAGAGCAATTAAACAGGGGAGTAGTTCCTGATGGCATTTGTGTACACTGTTTGGCAGGCCTTATTAAGGTTTGATACAATCCGAGTTTGTATTTGATTATTTAGTCTTACTACGAAAATAATTAACTACAACTGAATGTTGTACAGGCTTGGTTCCGTGAACTTCCAAGCGGAGTGTTAGATTCTCTACCTCAGGAGCAGGTAATCCAATGCCAGACGGAAGAGGAGTGTAGTGCATTGGTGAGACTTCTACCGTCCACAGAAGCTTCTCTGCTGGACTGGGCCATCAACTTGATGGCTGATGTTGTCCAGGAAGAATTCCATAATAAGATGAATGCACGCAATATAGCAATGGTCTTTGCTCCTAACATGACACAGGTAAGTTCTGGTATAATTAATCAATTAATTGTTAAAAAGTATCCGTTTTTATCACTAAGAAAATTAAGTGTCATACCTAAAAATGGATTTCCTGCTTGTGTAGGAAGGACAAAAGCTTTTTAGTTTTTACTATTCCTTACTTCCTGCTGACCCCAATCTCGTTTGGGATATAGTCTTGGATGTTGATGTTGTAGTAGTATTCCATACTCCCTCTGTTGCTTTTTTATCTTTCCACTTTCCTTTTTTAGGCTGTCTGTAAATAATCTTCTCATATCCAAAAATTTGTCTGTTTATCATTGATTCTTTCCTTTCTAAATAAATGACAACCACATAATTTTGCTGACATAAACTCTGTTTAAAATCAAACGTGGAAGACAAAACAGGGGTGTTGAAGTATTTACCATTAAACTTTTGGGTGATATGTACTCTCTCTCTCTCTGGTGTGGATGGTTTTAGAATTTCATATTCACTATTCCTTTAGGCACAGATTGGAATGTGGAAAATGCTATAGTAAGAAAGTAAGCCGGAAAATATAAGATATATTTGAAATGAAAGAAGATGTTGAGGAATGTTGGTTCAACCTCAAGTTATTTTGAATATTTGATCACGTTCTTTTTAGTTTATTTATGTATTTCGGTCACATGAATAAAACACAATCAAATCATATGTAAAATACTCAATAAATATTAATAATTTTTCATTTTTCGTAGTATTTCTTTTGGTTAATCCAAACATAAGAAGATAAATATTCTTAGCGTTTTATTTCCTTTCTCTAGTATTCCTGACTATCCAAACATATCATTCGAAGAGTGTGAAAGGAAGGGTAACCATGTAAAGTGTTTTAATTATGCTTTTCTGCATGGGTGTATAGTGTGTCAATGGGCAAATGTTGATAATGAAGTATATGGTTAGATACTATATGGAAAGTATAATGAAACAGATTAGCAAAATATATTGTACTCAAAATGCTAATGAAAATAAAACCGAGAAAGGAAAGTGGTTTGAAAAATGCATAGTTAACTGGATGTCCAAAACAGGCTTGATGTTGTATACGAAGTATATGAGAAACAGTGAAAGATATAGATAAAATTAGAAGGGAGGGGGGGGGGGGGGTCTTGGTGCACCGGTTTAGGTGTTGCTCTCTGACCGAGACATCACAGGTTCATGTCTTGAGAGCGGCCTCTTGTAAAAAGTTTGACAGGGGAAACTTGCCCCTTATACACCTTTGTTGTGGAACCTTTCTCCGGACCCTCTCCTTGCGGGGATTCCTTCATACACCAAGCTGCCCTTTTATGGATAAAAATGAATGACCAAAATTGAAAACTTTTCGTTTATAATTTTTTCCAGCGACTTTGATTACAGTGCCAGCCATTTAACTAATGTAGAAATGGTTTATTCAATATTAGGTTGTAATAACAGCCATTGTGGATGTTTTGTGTAGATGGGGGATCCATTGACAGCACTAATGTACGCAGTCCAGGTGATGAACTTCTTGCGAACACTTATTGAGAAGAAACTACGAGAAAGAAAAGATTCTCTGGCAAAAACAGCCCCGACTTCCAGCATAGAGCCCTCGGGTGAAAATGGTCCCCAGAATCATCCTCTCCAGCCAATCCGGGAAGAAGAAACAGGCGGTGACCTGACCGATGAAGAATATCTCAGTTATTCAGATTCCAGCGATGAATCTGAAGATAGCAGCAGCTCTTGTGAATCTTGTCTACACACCACTCGTTGGTTATTTAAAGAATCTGACCTGTCGAATCCCTCCAGTGGTCTGGTAACTGAAAAAAGATGCAAAAGAACAAGCAATTTGATCACAGAGCGGGTCGAATTCTGGAGGTGAAGAAGTGTCGCGTTCTTCTATTTCGTCGTAGAAACCTGCAAAAATTTTGTATATGTATGTATAGTGTGTTGAGTGGTTCGGCTTTATGTGGTAGAGTCATTACATGCAGATTTTATGGAGATTGTTGGACCCTTTTTGAGGTCTTGCCTGCGTAGTAGTCCCATTAATGCTCTACGTAAACAAAACAAATTTCGCTTTTTACAATTTGTGTTCTAGCTCACACAGTCACAAGGGTTGCTGGTAAATAGAAACAAGGGCTTAGTAAACGTGTATAGATCTTTATATTATTATTTGATGTTCATGGAAGTTCAGCAGCTTGTTTTTTTTAATTTCAAGTGTTACATTGAAAAATGTTCGTACACATTATGGTGTACATGTTTTCTACATGCTTTCACGCCTTTCACAGTTTCACATAGACAATGAGTGAGAACATGCTAATAGATAAATAAGGGGTGGTTTACATTTTTTCAGAATGTGCCACAAACATTCGATGTATGCGCAAATTATATAGATTAGCATAGAAATCATTTAAATAAAATTCAATTTCAATTCAAATATTATTCAATGTGAATAATATTTGTTTTTTTATATGGTAAATGTGAATACTCCCTCCATCCCGGAAACAAGTTCCCATTTTCCTTATTTGGATGTCCCAAAATAAACTTCCCACTTCTTTACTTGGCAAATTAATCTACATCAAAACAGTGCAAAACAGTGTCAAATAGTGCAAAACAGTGTCGAAACAGTGTCAAAACACTAAAATTTATCCCTCAGTAACTTTATTTCCTTTAAATGTGTGAAAGTCAACCCGAGAACATGTTTCCGGGACGGAGGTAGTATTTGCTAAATGCATAGAAAGTGTGTTTTATACACCACATAAGGCACCACATGATGTTAGCACCGGGGCCAGTCTTAGGAAAACGAGGACCGTGTCACCGTGTGCGACAACAAAAATTAGGCCTTTCTTTATTAACATAAGAACAAATTTTATTTACTTATGAAATATTGTAGTGAAACAATTATAAATTTAACACCTAAATAACCTAATAATATCAATTATTGAACTCAATCACAAAATTAACAACAAAATAACCTAATACGTTATGGCAAGCCTGTGGGTCTTTGGTTGTTTGGCACTTTGGCATACGATGCTTCCCTACAGTGGCGGAACCAGAACGAAAACAAAGGGGTAGCTAAAGTATTATGAAATGCAAAAATTTAAGTTGTTATTAAAGTTTACATAAGATAAAATTTGTGAGAAAAATACATTACATTACATTACATTACAATTAAATGTTAGAAGAAGAAGGCAAGTCGATACGAGGATGTTTTTCTCTATTACTCTTTTCGTTATCTCGTCTAGAAAACTCAACTTCTCGTGTTACAAATCGTAAAATAGACATAATCACATGAGTAACCTTATAAGTTAACGTTTTCAACTTTGAATTCTTAAAAGTTAAACCAATCAATCAATTATAATTTAAAGCAATTGTAGCAATGAGAGTAAGTGAAAAAAATGCACAAACAATTCCAACTTTATATCAATTCAATCAACTAAACAAATAAAGTTTAAAACAATTAAAGTAATTAATCAATAAACTTATAAACTTGCAAAAACATTATGCTTGAAACCAATTTCACATTTTCAATTATAAAGTAAATAATAAATTAAAGATTTAAAGAAAATAACCAATTAAAGTAATTAAAAAAGATTTCAATTTTAAAGTTAATTAGAGCATCCACATCCATAGATTATTTTTGAGATCATTTTGATGATGTGGAGGATCTTTTTGGGGATCATGGATGAGGAGTTGAGATTATTTTATGAGATTATTTGATAAAATAATCTGGTATCAATTTCTAAAGCTGGATTATTTTGAGATTATTTTCAACTTCTAGGCATATACTCATAATTATGGTGATGACTATCTTTGTAGTTTGTGCATGTTCATGCTCCTATTCAAGGTAAATTAAGATCATGAATGAGGAGAAATTTATTGGTTTAGAGATTATTTGAGATTATCTTATGTGGAGGTGACATGACAATAATAGACTATGAAAAATCGTAAAGTTAAAAATCATCAATGTGGATGCTCTTATAATCTGGTTCTTCAAATGTGAGAGGTCAAGGGAACTGCAAGGCAACTCCCGGCCAATAGACAGCAATGATTTCAAAATGAGAGGTGCACTTTTAATTACTTTAATTTGTTATTCATCAAATCTGACAGAAATTTACTGATTTCAATTTTAAAGTTAATTATAATCTGGTTCTTAAAATCCTAGCCAAACAGTCCGAACTTACCCTAACGAGGCAACTCCCTTCGCTGCTTCGTGACTTCTGGGGTTGGAATTGGGGCCTTAGCTGTCACTGGAACTGCGACTGAGGGGAATCGAGGATGGCCGAATTGGGGAACCTTGTCATTATTAGTGGTCAAACGACGTTGTTTTGGTTTTCTTTTGCACTTAACCAAACGACGTCGTTTGGTCATTTCATTAATTAAAAAAAAGAACAGGCTGTCCCAGCGTGCATCGTGCCTGGTTCGCTGCATCTCCGGCCGGCAGTCCAACGAAGAAGATGAAAGGGCTTAAGGGGGACGCCGATAAAATACCTAATAATAGTAGTAGCAAAAAATTTTCGGCCACTTTCACGTTTAAGGGTTCAATCATTATGTAATGACTAATGAGACCACAAATTAAAATGGGAAAAGGAAATTTATCAATTTAAGACCGGAAAGTTGAGTTTACTATCAATTCTGGATCTAAAAGATGATTGCTCTCATTAAGGGACCCGAAAGATGATTGTTAACTTTCTTTAACCGGATATGCCATGGCGGCCACATAGACTAAATAATTAAACTAAATCATATCATAATAATTACAAAATACATGGTAGATATCCTGGAGGGTTACAGCCGCAGCCGAAGACTTGATGTTTTCCTCCTCATACACAAGTCTATTTCAGGTACTATTTCTCTGAATTCGTGCCATCATCGGAAAGCTGTTTCTCTGAATCCTTACCATCATCAGTAACTCTCATCTCATCTGGGTCCTTTTCCTTTTGACAAATTTTCCAGAACACTGCAAATTTGATCTTGACAAAAGGTTTGAACTATAATCGATTATTATGTTTTTTACTCTAATTCTCATCTTGCCAAAAGGTTCGAGAATATTTTTACTTCAAGACCGTACCCTAACCCATTCACCACCAAACCAAGAAAAAACATTAAGAAAACTCTTGTTTTAATGAAGAAGAAACCATTTTTAAATGAAACTCTAATGCATGTTTTGCTATGAGTAGCAGATTCTACCATCATTGTCACGCCCCAGACTGCATCCGAGCGCGTGTACAACCGCCGTATGACTAAATGACGTCACTCGCAAGTCAACATGACTTAATCATACAAGGCGTCCATGAACATTGTTCATACCATACTCAGTAAGTAAACATACATAACAACATCACATATTTGGAGTGAACGATTCGCGGAAATATTCAATGTTCAACCATGGGCCACATACGGGCAAAACGTGGGCTCGCAGGCCCAAAACAAATGTACTTATCACAAAATATCCATGAGCATAGTTTATAGTTTAAAAACGGTAAAGGAAGCACGAACCACATCTCCCTTTAGATCACTTCACCGAGCAAGGTGAGAAGAGCAAGCTTGAGCTTCAACCTGAAATGGTGGGGCCCCCCGAAGGGGGCAGTACAAGTACCGAGCGAGTAGCAGGCTAAATGTAGAATAACTAACGTTTCAAGTATAAGACCCAAACATAGGGTGATACATATACATATAGCCCTATCCCCCAAGTTATAAAATATATATCATTATATATACACTTGGAAATACCCGACCCGTAGGTCATTGTTTATTTGGGAAATAATATAGCCAGTAACTTTGGCTTAAACCCTAACCCACCCATATACCTATGAGGGTATAGAACTCCTCCTGGTTCAAATCCTCTTAACTTGAGGACACCACCCGGTCCTAAATTACAAATAGTAACCTATGAGTTTTGAGGATACACGCCCGATCCTTGGGTACTCCACCCTATATAACCGAGTTTTGAGGATAACCGCCCGATCCTTGGGTACTCCACCCTATAACCGAGTTTTGAGGATACACGCCCGATCCTTGGGTACTCCACCCTATAACCGAGTTTTGAGGATACACGCCCGATCCTTGGGTACTCCACCCTATAACCGAGTTTTGAGGATAACCGCCCGATCCTTGGGTACTCCACCCGACTTATGATCTACCACATATCATCCTAGATAAGGTCTATATCATAATCAATAATCAAGACTAAACCAAGTCTTAATGCCTAAGCATAATCATCCATGCAATTCATGCATTAAAAATCAACATATAGGCAAAACAGTGCCAAACCGGCGCCGGTTTTGACATAACCGGCACCGGTTATTAATTAATTTAATTAAACCGGCCATGCCGATCCATAACCGGCGCCGGTTTTGCCTATAACCGGCGCCGGTTACCCCCTGGGCAACCAAGTCAGCATTTTCGTTGACTCGCCATTTCAAACCCGATTTGTGTCAAACTTAATCCCAACGTGTATTAAGTTATAACCAAGCATTTTATGCCCCTTTTATCCCTTAAAACATCATATATGTTTTTATAAACATTTTCATATCATACTTCATTTATGATATCAATGGGTCATACATATAATTATGAATAATTATATGAGCACATATAACACATGTTTAAGCATCTTTTAAACATCAT